ACCGCCTTGAGGAGCGCAAAGATTTCGACCTGCAAGGTCCCGCCGCTGGCCAGCATGGTATGCATGGGGTTCCTCACGTATGTGCTCGGCGGCGCCACCGTCCGCAACGCCTGGCACGCCACCAGAGAACGGTCATCCAGAGTGATGCCCATTGCCGTCTCCTTCGGGGGCCGGAACATCAGAAGGGAAGGAAGGGGGGGACATCAGAAGGGGATCGATGGAAATGTTTTCCTCACTGGCTCCAGTCTCTCGATGTTCGCTCTGGTTGTCGTGTCCCGCAGCGACGCCAAATCATCATATTGCTGCAAAAACTCGTCTGACGACAGCGGGTCAAAGCGCGACGAGTCAGCGCACCAGAGAGGCACGAGGTAATCATCGTCGTCGTAGTCTGCAAGACATTTCGCCTGATCCAGCACAACGTTCTTGCATTGCAAGCACGGTCTCAGACCTGCAGCGCCCTTGGTGCAGAATGTCTCTTTTCCAGCCGCCTCGTCTGCAATCACGCGGTGGAACTTGGCGAAAAAGTGCACGCCGCCGATTGGCGCACCGTGCTCCGACAGACTCTCTGGGCCCAGGAACAGCGCGCGAAGCAATGCCCGCGCCACGGCCGAGCCGCCGATGCTCTTCTTCACGACGACGCGCAAGGTGCCGATCGGCAGCCACGCAACCTCCTTCTGAAAGAAGGATCCGAACTCGAGGAAACTCGCATACACCGCGAGCTGATTCCGACGATTATCTATCTTCAAGGCGTTGCCCACGCCAATGTCGTCGTAGTACAGCAAAAGCCTCCACGGCCGATCGCGCGACACAGGGAAACGGCGCTTCGCTTCCCAAAACATTGAACTCCAGAGAGGGCAGTCCGACAGGAGCCTCGGCATCAGCCGATGCGGCAGCGCCACGCTCCATCGGAAAGGCGTGCCGATCTTGGGCTGCAGCCGCACTGCGCTGATGAGATCGGCCACGGATGCCGTCTGCGATCGCTGCATGGCCCGAGCGCTCACGTCTATTGCATCGCCCGCGTCGTCGCCATGGCCAAGCGCAGTCACGATTCGCTCGAGCAAAGCCGCGGACACGCCGCGCAGGGCCAGACACTGTTGCAGTCGAGCCCGCTGCTCCACCTGCTTGTCCACCTGCAGGGCGCGTTTCACCATTGCGCCGACGCCCGCGCGCGGGAGGGGCGGGGGCGGGGGGCAGCGCGAGGCCCAGCGCGGTTGAGAAAAACGAATTGCAGCCAGAGAGACGGAAGTGAGGCGGGAATGGATCGCGGGGCGGAGTAGCCGCCGAAGGGCATGGCGGTGTAGCCGCCTGAAGGGTCGGGAGGGGCGGCGTAGCCGCCGAAGAGCGTGGGGGCGAGGGGGCATGGGGGGAGGGGGGAGGGGGGAAGGGGGTGGGTGGGGGAGATTGCGGAGGCGCGAAGTGAGCGTAGCAACGGAACTTGCAAGGGGGATTTCTTTTTCTCGCACGCAATTTCGAGCTTGAGTTTCAAGCTCGGGTTCCAAGCCGCCAGCGCTCGGAGACGGGCGCGGCTGGCGGCTAGAGCTCGGGACGGGCGCAGCGCGGGACGGGCGCGGCGGCGGCTGGCGGCTCTTAGTGCGGGCGCGCGTGCTGCCTCCAACTCCTCATCCACCTCCTCCTCCTCTCCTCATCCTGCCTCCTCTTCCTCCTTATCCTCCTCTATCGGCCCAGCCGATCGCCGCTCAGCTCTCCTGGTGCGGCTGGCGGCTGAAGAACCGAATGCCGCCTGGGATGTCCTGCACCGTCTGCTTCGACATCTGGCACAGCATCTTGCCGCGCTCCTCGGTGCGGCGCGCCTCCTCCATCATGCGCCGCGCCTTGTCGATGAGCATCTGGCCCTTGATGCCAACGGCGCGTGCATGGCGGCAACGATTGCGCCACTCGATGAAGCGCACCACGATTGTCGCCCAGCTCCACGCACTGCCACCCGTGATGAGCTCGAAGTCATCGACGTCGTACTTGTCCGCGATGCTCGCCATGGCGGCGCAAGACCGCGAAGGGGCACGACCTCGAGCGGCTCCACTTGAGCCACAAAGTCTACGGATGAGGGGTGGGACGGTGGCAGATCATGTCATTGGGAAACGCGAGAGAACGGTGCGAGCGCGGTGGGCAGCAAAGGCGGCATCTCCGCCAAATGAAGGCAAGGCGGCATGTCCGCCAAGGGCTTGCGAGAGTGGAAAGGCGGCATCCCCGCCTAACGAAGGGCTGCGGTGGTAACGAGTGGGGTGGCGATGGCAACGAAGAAATGTTTTTTTCAACAACAATAACAATTGTACGAAATCACACACCTCGTCATGAGCGGCCCAACTGCCGCCCCTGCCAAGGAGCTGCTTCGCATCTGCTTCGTCTCCGACCGCCAATCGATGGGATTCCCAACGGTGTCGCTGGCCTTCGCGAGCCACAGCTCGCGCGGTAGGGTCTCGGGCAGGACGCGCTCGAGCAGGAGGGAGTTAGGCAAGCGCTTCGCCTCGCCAAGTGAGGCATCGGAGCGCGATGAGCGCAAAGGCGGCATCTCCGCCAAATGAAGGCAAGGCGGCATGTCCGCCAAGGGCTTGCGAGAGTGGAAAGGCGGCATCCCCGCCAAACGAAGGGCTGCGGTGGTAACGAGTGGGGTGGCGGTGGAAATGTTGTTTCACCAACAATAACAATTGTATTTACGAAATCACACACCTCGTCAGGAGCGGCCCAACTGCCGCCCCTGCTCACGAGCGGCCCAGCGGCCGCGGCTTATTCGGGTCCTTCTCCACCTTTTTCAGGCCGTACATCATGATGTACTGGGCCACCATGGGGCGCTCAGGTGCTGTGCTTCTGCGCCTCCTTGAGCATCCCCGCGATGGCCCTCGCCGCCGAGCTCGCATCCTTCTGGATGCTGATGGCCTCGTCCTGCGTGATCGTCAACGACACGCCGCTGTGCACGCGCTTCTGCGCCACCGCCTTCATGACTGCCACAGACTTCCTCGCCGCCTTCGCGTTCTTCACAGCCCATGACGGCACCTTGTCCGCCTTCTCATGCTCGAGGTACCCGTCCAGCTCTGTCTCGAGCCTCGTTGCGGTGCCGATCCACTTCAGCGCCAGGTTTTTCTCCTGCGTCTCCTTCTTGGCCTGCTCGGCCTTCTCCCTCGCTTCCTGTCGCCTCCGCTCCTTCTCAGCGTCCCTATCCCTGCGGAGCCTTCGGGGTTGTCCGAAAATGACAACACTTCGAGCCGAGCGAAATCAATAACCCGATCCGAACCTGAAGAGTTGAACGGAAACCGAAAGCGAATGCGAAGCCCAGGCGACACCCCTGCGTTGAACCCCCAAACGGCCTGCTCTTGCTCCTGTCCTTGCTCTTGCCGCGGCTAGTGCTCCTGCCCTTGCGGCGGCTCTTGCTCCTGTCGCGGTCGCCGCGCGAGCGGCTCCTGCTGCGGTTGGTGTCGCGACGTCTGTCGCGGCGTCTGCTCCTGCTGTCGCGCCTGCCCCTGCTGTCGCGCCTGCTCATGCTGCGCCTCCTCCTCCTGCGGCTGTCAGACCTGCGCCTGCGGCGCCGCCTGGATCTGGACATTTCGCTCTCGTCGCTTCTGTCGCCCTTGTCGCCGCCGTGCTCTGCGACGCCCGTCGAGGCCGCTGCCCGCGGGCCGCTCTGCTTCGCCTGCGTCCTCTTGTCGGTGTACAGCTCGTTGCGCACTGCGGCCTCCACTGTCTCGCTCCAGGCCGCCTCCAATTGCGGCCTGTACGTCCACTCCCCGAGATCAGGGTTCCACCTCTTATCCTGCACATTATCTTCAATCTTTTTCGCGTCGAAGCCGTCGTGCGCCCACTTCCTCAGCGGAAGGTACTTGCCACCCTGGCGGACGCGCTCCTCCTCCATCCGTTGGACAGTGATTGAGCTGACCACGAAGGCTTCAATGCGATCGAGGTTCGACAGCCCAGGATCTTCTGCCAGATACTTGTAGAACTGCTGCTTGAACTCACTCTTCATTTTGGCGAAACACTTTGGCGGCCACTGTCCGAACCTCCGAGAAAGGCGCACCCCGTTCGTGTTGCACGCGTCGCACTGGTAAGTCGACTGGCCCTTCGCCTTGATCCTGTAGTTGCACTCCTTTGCCGTGCGACAGCAGCGGCTGCAACGCACGATGCTATGCCCGATGCCATGCACATCCACGAACTCCCCTACCTGGGGAGCGCCTGCTGGCGGATCGTCCTGAGCTGCCTCCTCCTCCTCCGCCTGCGGCGCTGCCGCCTCGGGCGAGCGCCCCTCATTCTAAACCTTGGCTACCGCGCCCTGCGGTGGAGCCTCTTCCTCCTCAAGCTCACGCTTGGCACTCTCAAGCTCATCCTGTTTTACGCCGAGCTCGGAACCAATCTCGTCGCCGCGCTCCTCGGAGCCCGATGCCGCCTCTGACGCTGCGTCGCCCGGCTCTGGTGGCAAAGCCGCTGCGCCCTGAGGAGGCAGTTCTTCGGCGGGAGCTGCGGCTGACGCTGCTTTGCGAGCCGTCCTCAACGCTGCGGGGTGCTTACCTTTGCCCTTGCCTTTGCTTTTCCCGCGTGCCTTCGGCGGCCCTGCGTCGGTCAATGCGAGCGGCGGCACAAGCTGTCCAGTCAGTGTCATCTGCGTCCCCGATAGCTTAGCTTTCCCTCGGGGCTTCGCTGCGGGCGCCTTGGTCATCACTCCCTTGTTTTTCGGCCTGGCTGCTCCGAACATCACTGCCAGAGAATGCTGCTGGTGATCTTCAGCGGGCGGAGTCCCCGCCATGGCGGCGTGACCGCCTTGGCACGCGAGAAGCCGCGCGTCGCGCGCGGCCCTGATGCCAAGATGAGCTGGACGCGAAGCGATGACGAAGAAAACGCGCGGTAAGTGAGGCGGGATAGCCGCCTGCGGAATAGCCGCTTCAAAGGTGGAGGGAGGGGTGGAGTGAGGTATGAAGGGGGCGGCATATCCGCCAGCGGACTCGCCGCTTGAGAGGGTGCAGGGGCGCGGCGAGGGAGGCGGATTGGCCGCCAGCGGACTAGCCGCTCGAAGCGTGGCGGACGCACGAGGTGATACGGATACTGAAATGAATTGCGCGCAACATGTCAACCACACAAAATTGACATCATGTTATCATATGTTATCATATGTTATCAGGCGTGTGATAACACCATGCTAACACATGATAACACATGATAACATGTTATCAGGTGTTATCAGGTGTTATCAGGTGTTATCAGGCGCGTGATAACATATGCTAACATATGATAACAGCCAACGTTTTTTTGCCAGTGCATGGCGGCGGCGTAGCGGCACGTCCGCCGAGTTAGTTAAGCGGAGCAGCAGGGGCGGAGCGGCGCCCTGCGCTACCGACCGCGGACGGCGCCGCGTGCTTCAAACCGCTGCATGAGCGGCAGCGAAAAGACGGGCGAGCGCGGAAGCGAGGCGCGCTGCCTGAGCGGCAGCGAAGAGACGGGCGAGCGCGCGCAATCGGGGCGCGCTGCCTGAGCGTCATCATATGCAAGGCGATGGGGGGGTGGGCGGACATGGCGATGCAGCACATCCAGAAAATAGCCGCACTCATTCTTATGCGGATGCAGTTTTCTCCCCCCAGCCCTTTTGCCAAATCCCATCCAACCGCCCACCTGTCTTATCCGCCGAAGTTCCCTCACCTTCCTCCCGCTCCGCTCGTCCACTCGCCCCCATATCGCCTTGCATTGGGGGACGGCTACTCGGCCGCCTGCGTGGCCAAAACTCACCTCGGCGTGGCGGCCTTCACGAATTGAGTGCGGATGGAGTGTGTGGGGGTGTCCTAATTTGTTCTGACACAGGGGTGTGGATTGAAATTGCGTTTGAGGAGTGGGAGGGGGGCGTGTAGGGCCGACGCGTCGCGCCGCCTGCGCGAATGAGGCTACTGATGCTGAGGCGACATCAGTGCTGCCAGCCGTGCACCTGCACCTACGAGGTCGCGTTGCGCACCAGCCAGCTCGCGAGCACGTCCTCGCACTCGGCGATGCATTGCTCCTCTTGGCGGAAAGCGTTCACCGCGCGCTCCGCTATCTGGGCGCACATCTGCGTCGCAGTTCGCGCGCGGCGCAACGAGTCGAGCACAGCCTGGCACTGGGTGCCGTTGAGCACCACGATGCTATCGGGCGACATCTGGCTGGCCAACGCCGTGGACATCCTCATGCCCGCCGTGGCTGACGAAGCTGCGCCTGACGATCCGCTGCCCTCCGAGAACACGTCCTTCAGCTGGTGCGAGCGCTCCACGCGGGATTGTGGAGGGATTGGCGCCAGCTCGACCTTCGGCGCCCCCTTGCGCCTTTTGGCGGAGCCCCAGTTGGCCTTCTCCCCCTCCCATTGGCGCCACTCCGCGAGGTCGACTTCCCACGAGTCGGCCTCGAGTGCGATAGCAGCTACCTCCGCTTCGTCCTCGCTCAAGCTGTGGTACGGCGACACGTGAAGGTGGTTCACCAGCTTGTTCCTGGCCTCCTCCACTGTCTCTCCCTGGAACCACTTGCCGCCCCTTTTGCAGCTGCTGCTCTGTGGGCACTTGAAGCCGAACATGACGGTCTTCTCGCCCTGCTGGCCTGCAATGGCGGCAGGGCGAGAAGTGCACGGCTAGCGCAGGGGCGGCGTGGGGCGCGAGCCTGTGCGCGCCTAGATTCGAGCCGATACAGCGTCCCAACAACAAAAACATACATGTGTAAGAGGCGCGGTGGCATCGCACACTTCGGGATGCCAGCAGGCGGCGGCGGCGGTTTAGCCGCCAATGGAGGGCTCAGGGCGGCGTGGCCGCCAATGGGCGGTTTAGCCGCCAATGGGCGGCGTGGCCGCCAATGGAGGCTTCAGGGCGGTTTAGCCGCAAATGGGTGGCTCAGGGAAGGACTGGTGTTTTTTTCCAACCGCATAGAACAAACCCGATGCGCCGATGCTCGTATCTGAACGGCGGTTGTCCGCCAGGCGGGGGGAGGCGGCGCGTCCGCCAATGAGATAGTTCGGCAACGAAGAGAGGGGAGGAGAGATGAGATGAGACGAGGCGGGGAGAGGCGGCGCGTCATGACGCGTCAGCGCGGATAGCTGCAACTATCCGCGCTCGAATTACGGAAGCTATGCACCCCAGCCCGCTTGCAGGTCCACGCGATCACCCAACAAGAAGACATCTCCGCGGGCGGGCGGGCGCGGCTTCGCTGGCGGTGGTGCCATCTTGCTTGTCGGCTGCAGCCGACGCCCTGCCCTCGGCTGCACCATGCTGGGCTTCCCTGCTGGCGGCTGCATGGTCTTCGGCGGCGGCGGCCCCATGGTCTTCGGCGGCGGAGGCGGAACTGGAGGGTTCATATTGCCAGTCCTCCACGGCGCCTGCTGAGGCATCGTCTTGGGCAAGTTCGGCGCCATGGGCTCCCGATGCATCAGCTGAGGCTTGGGGACGTGCGCCTCGCGCACCCGCGGCGCTGCCTTGCTGCCGCGCAGCTTCGCGTACATCTCGCGCTTTGCGCCACCTCGGTTCCCCCAGCGCTTCGCATTGGCGCGCCACGCCTGGCCCTGCCACGTCTGCGGCCCGCCCATGGCGGGGCCAGGCGGGCCGCGGTCGCGGAACTTATTGTAGTCGTACTTCATCTGGTACTCCTTGAGCACGGCGAGCACGTTCTCCGACCGCCAGTCGATGGGATTCCCAACGGGGTCGCTCAGCCAGGCTCGCAGCTGCGTCCTGAACGCCTCCACCGCGCTGGGATGCGCCACCACCGCCTCGGGGGGCTCTTCCACCACAGGCGTCGCGCCCCGCATGTGCGACGCGAGCTCCTTCACGAGAGCCGAGGGCGGGAAAGGCCGCTGCCGCGGGTCCCGCGGCGGTGACGTCGGCCCCCGCCTGCGCGGCGGCGTCGACGGTGCCCGCGGGTGGCGAGGGCTGCGCGATCGCGCTGGCTGCGCCGCCAACGTGGGCGCGCTGGCTGGCCGACTGCCGCTGGCGGAGGAAGACCGATCCCCTGCGTTGTTGTCCACGCCCGCAAGGTCGGAGAGCAACTGCATCGCTGGCCCGAACATCTCCTGCGCCGAATCTCCAAAACAGTTCGACCGAGAGCGGCCAGCCAGTTTCGCGCGCGATGCGCGCGTCCCTGGCTACCGCACGCGGGGCCACTTGTTTTGGCGATGCAGCTGCCTCCAACGCGTCGTACGCGCTGCCGCTGTCTGCCATGGCCGCGGCCGCAGTGCGAGGCGCCGAGCGCGACGCGGTGGCTGCGGCGCAGCCTCGGCGCGCGGGCCCCAGCCCACGCGTCGGCGCGAAAGGGGGGTGCCGACCCCGCGCGGGCTCGCGGGCACCCGCGGGCCGCGGGCTTGAACCGAAATGGAATCGGACGCGGAAGCGAGACTTCGGGAGGAGGGGGAGGGGGTTGCCCATGGACCCATTGAAGTCTTGGAGATCCTCGAGCCCTCGGGGGCCTCTCAGAAGGGCCCCGCTGGTTCTTGCGACGGGGTCTCGGGGGAGGGGGCAGAGTGAGGGTGGCATTGGGAACCAGAAAAATAAGTGAACTGGCGTCCCTTTGAATGTGCAGGTCTTGGTTCACTTGTTTTCGTCGTTGAACGGGCGGTGGCAACGTCGGTGCCTTCGCGCGCGCCCATGCCATTCTGGGTGAACGCCTTCGCCGTTCGAGCAGCGGGCGTCTCCCCGACGTTAGTTGACGTGGGATCCAGTGCCTGACAGCGGAGAGGGGGGCGCAGGGACGTGGCGCGGGGGCGCGGAGTGGGCCGAGTAGGGGAGGGGGGCGGCGGCATGTCCGCCTGAAGGGCGGAGGAGCGCAAAGGGGTGGGGCGGGGGCGGCATGTCCGCCACGAGTTGGAAGGCGAGGAGGCTGCGCTACAAGGCGGCATATCCGCCACGAGGCGGCATATCCGCCACGACCTTTTTGTTATCCCGAGGCCGCCCCGTTGGCCTGGAGAGTTGAAGAGTCGTAGCGCGAATTACTCGCCGCGCGCCCTGGCGGCGAGCTCCTTCTTGACCAGCTCCTCAGCCTCCGCGATGGCCCTGGCCTCGGAGCGATCGGGCGCAACGAGGCAGCAGGGGGCGGAGGGGGCGTCGAGGCAGGGGCGAAAATGAAGAGAGCGCGGAGGAGGGCGTCGAGAAGGGCGTCGGTGAGAATCTGGACTTGTCGGCCTCATCGCCCGCGATGTACTTCAGGCTGACGTTGCTGCCAGGGACGCCGACCCTGCCGCTGCGGAACTGCACCTGGGGGGCGGAGCAACGATGAACAGTCGCCTGAAAGGCGGCGGGCGCGCAAACTGCGACCCCAGCGGGGCTGCAGGGAATCGCCGCGCGCGCCCGACGCCTCATCGGTGGGAGGTTCAACCCCGCTCGCCAAGTTGCGTGTGG